GAAGATGAAGATTCAGCTCCAAAATCGGACCTGCACATCCATGGAGGCAACGTGAAGCAGGAGGAGAATTCTGACTGTGAGGCCGAGCGAGGCAACTCCCAGCAGTTTGTGGAAGTGGAGGTGTGGGTGGACTTCCGAGACAATACAAAGTCAAATGGAGACCCGGTAGATGCGTAAGCTTGAGACGATGTCGCTCCAATAGATGCACCTTTGTCACAGGCCTTTAATGACAAGAATGTGAAGTTGAACACTCAATTCCTAGGTTCAACCTGCAGGGTAAGAGCGGCCAGTCTTTGTGGACCGGTGTGTTGGGTAGATCTCTAACCAGGAGCGAGAGCCAATAAGCTCCCAAGCATTCACTGTTATCAATTGCATTTATATTGTGCTTGCTTAATTGCCTCGGCAACTCGGAGTTTTGTATCGTTTCTCGTCTCAAACACTCGAAGAGCATCCCCAAGTAGCAGCTGCCCCTGTGTGGCACAAGGTGGTGGCCCTGCACCGGCCTGCATGTGGACAAGAGCCTGTCAGTAGGGGGCGCTGGTTGATGTGGGATCTTGGTTGTGGAGTTTGTAAGTAATGTTTAGAATTTTTATCAATTTTTACCCAGACGCCAGCATGCAATGGCCTACTCGTTTTGAATGGCGCAATAGTATGTTGTTTGCACTATTAAGCAGACGGTGCATATTTTTTTAAATTAGCTTCTTGTTAAAACGATGTAACCTGATGCAGCATATTTCATTGCAGTAATTCAATTTTGTTAAAAATTACTCAATAATTTTGAATGAATACTTGTATGATTGTCTGCGTACATGTACCATTTTGTCTATAAGGGTCAAACATTGAATAAGTTATGTTAGGACAAAGTGTGTGTTTTGCAAGTAACCTGTACAGATCACTCAGGTGAGACTCGTAGTTCTTGTGATACAGGTCAAAGGGTATTTTTGTGTTTTCAGGAAGCATCTGCCTCTGGAGCAACTCATTGTCTTTGAAATAGGGAGCACACTCAGATCATTCATCAGTTACAAGGCATACCACTCAAAAGTTACACGTAGTGTAGCAATGTAAATGCGCTGTGTACACTTACCTGCAGGGGCAGACAAGGTCCAGCAGGGGCAGTCGCTATATCCCCAGCCCCAAAGCAGGTGGGGGCTGTGGGGTGTCCTGAATCCCCCAGGACCCCTCCCAATAGGAGGGGGCTACTGGGATCCCCCGGAGCCCCCTCTGGAACTCTCCGGAAGGGAGGCGGAGCCAGGGACTGATGCACGGGTGCTGGATACACAAGCCGGAAGGGTCCGGGGCCAGTCCAAGACAAGCTAGAAGACCAGCGAGCTAGGACGCTGGGACCCCCTCACCCCGCTGCACTTGTGGGTGCCGGGACTCTGTGGGCCAGTGGTGAGACCCTGGGAACCCCTGGCCGGACAGGGGGGGGATTAAATAAATAAAATATTAACCATTTCGGATCTTAACTGATTGTGTCCACGTTTACGGTGACTTTCAGACCGCGTTCCACTCACTGACATTGACTATATATCTTGTATTCTCCGCAGGGAATGGATTCTTTGCTCCGTTCATGCGACGGTCAATGGTATAGTGTATAACATATTGTATAATAAATAGTATTAAAGTGTAATGTTTGATACAATGTGTAAGGTAATATATAGTATCGAAATTGTATAGTGAATATACAGCAGTGTGGTATACAGTTGGGTGGGTAGAATAATACAGTGTAATATTACACTATGTATTATTCTAAGACATAGGGTAGTGTATAGTAATACAGTATACAATTTAATACTATGTGGTTTATACTTTAGCGTTTTACGTTGTTGTTTAGTTACTGCAGCTACATACTATTAACATTCCTTCCCTTTATTAATGCTACCCCTATCCCCCTCCCTTTGATGCTGCTTATCCTGCATAATGCGTGGGCATTATGCAGGATTAGCATTTCACAAATAGCACTAATCACATTCCTGCATTTCCCATAAATATGCTAAATTCCTCTTGATATGCAGATTATTTTCTCAATGCGCATTTCCCCCCCCCCCTTCCAACCCAGCTTAAATAGACGCTCCAAGCGTGGTGGTGTTTTCTTTTAGACGCTGTCGCCTCGACAGACCTGTCTTCACCTGAGGACGGCTACTTGTGTTGTGGCCAAAACGTCGTGAGAATTATTTTGTTTTATTTTTTATTATTTTATTACTTCCCTTCGACGTGACTTTACCGAAAGAACCAAGAAGATAATATTTTTGTCCTAAAAAGTGTAAAATTTTGGAGAAAAAAAATTCACGAACATTAATTGTCACGCACGAGTCTGTGTGGAAAATGTCAGCTCGATTGGATCACGGGAAGTAGGTTAAAAAACGACCGAAAGGTTTGCACGGTCGTAAGCAAGCAAGCGGACGTAATATAAAGGATTTAACAAGTAAACCCGTAAAAACAAAGTTTTTCACTATAAATCCTTTATATGCGTGGCGGCTAGAGTCTTCTCGTCCTCTGGCTTGAGATGGCTGCCACCTATGGGTCAGATGATTGTCTGCCAGTATTAAGCAATTGGTAATTAAATATTTAATTTGTTTTCCCTAAACAGTGTAAAATTTTGGGAATTTTTTTTCACGAACATTGTCTCGCACAACGAGTCTGTGTGGAAAATGTCAGCTCGATTGGATCACGGGAAGTGGGTTAAAAAACGACCGAAAGATTTGCACGGTCGTAAGCAAGCACGCAAGCAAGCAAGCGAACTTAATATACAGGATTTAAAAATGCGTTAAATTTTAGATAAAAACGGAAGAGGTTAGAATGCCGATGTTCTGTTTGCGACGTGAACATTTCATCGTGAAATTTTCCACTTTTAATCTAATACATCGCATTATAAGTCTAAATACAAGAGGAATGAACTTGTCCAAAAATAAAGCTGTGAAAGTTGGGCTTATTTGGGCTAAAAACGGCACAGTATGCCGACTTACTTTTAATACTCGAAAATTTCATGGATGAAATTCCCAACTTTACATAATATATAGGATACTAAGGCTAAACACAACCAAGGAATGGACTTTTTATTGAAAAATAAAGCTGTGAAATTGGGCAAAAAGCCGATTTGCTTTTTTTTTTACTTTAAATTTTCATGGTGAAATGTCCCACTTTTAATGTAATTAAAAATAAAATTGCGGAAAATTTTGGTCTAAAACGGCATAGGTTAGTATGCTGATTTTCTTTTTGAGACGTGAAAATGTAATCGAAAAATGTCTCACTTTTAATGTAATATACAGCATACCAAGGCTAAACCCAACCAAGGAAATTAGTTTTTGGTAGAAAAGTGGGCCAATTTTTTGGCAAAATGCCGATTTGCTTTTTTTTACTACAAATTATCATGGTGAAATGTCCCACTTTTAACGTCATATATAGCATACTAACGCTAGACAATCGGGGTGAATTCACTTTTTCTTGGAAAATTTAGCTATGAAAATTTTGGCAAAAAACTGCATAGGAGCCCCTAACCCCAACTATCCCAACCCTAACCCCTAAACCCTTAATCCCAACCCTAATCCCTAACGCTAATCCATATGCCTTGAAACGCGTCTCGGCGAGACGAGTTGAATCGTATAGTCGAAGGGCACACACCACTTCAAGGTTACCAAGGCTCCCCATATCTAACTTTGACTTCACTGCGGTGTACAACTGTGCATCAGCAGCACATTGATGGACTTGATGTCATGCAATGAGATGACACCGGCTATCGGAGAGACGTGTTGAAGATAGCGAGGGCCCCAGGATGAATCCCCATGATACGCCACCTACACACAGCACAGGTAACGACTGTTCATTGCCCAGCCTGACCAACTGTGATCGACCATGGCATGACTCGGTCCACCCCAGTGGCGCAGCGAATACACCGAACCTTGACCTTGGTCGTTGGTGTCGAAGGTGGCCGAGAGAGTGGCCAGCCCCCAAGGCAGGTCGCCCTCCAACAACAACGGAGAAGCGACGCTCACAATAACGAGCGGAGTGCCGGGCGGCTAAAACGCAGCAAGTTGGCACAGTGTGGTGGTACAGCTGGTGCACCTAGCCTGGCACAGTGGGGGGGGGGGGGGGGACTTGTAAACCACTTATTTAAGATTCCTTAATTTTGAATGTATGCACCTTCCGCCCAAAGTAAATTCCTTGTCTGTGCGAACTTTCATGGCGAATAAAACCCTTTTCCGATTCTGAAAAACCATTTCTGAACTCTGGTAGCAGTCGGCGAGGCTCCGCTCGGAGATTATTCCCTCCGGGCAGTGCGGGGTTTGCGCCGTGAACAGACGTTAGCACAGAGCATCGGTGCGGTGTCTGTGGTTTGTTGTTTGACTTGCATCCCACTGGGATGTTTGCACACAGCGTTGGTGTACGGTGCTTTTTCTGCAATATTTTGCCGTCTTTTCTTGGATTTTCTGTTTGCACTTAGTCACATATTCACTTAAGATGTTTTTTGTTCATGTTTTGTTTGTTGCGGTTGCACCCGATTCAAGAGCCGAATGGCTCACAGGGCTACACCTAATACATGAACTTGTGTGTGGAGTGGCTGAGTGGGGGACGCGCTGCTAGAGGGCAGAGCCGCAGCACGAGCGCTCGTTGATAGAATCGCCTGCAGGGGCGTGTGTTCACGCCGCCGCGTGAGCACGAGTGGTGGTGGTGTACGCGGCATGTGGAGTAAACCCCGTGTAGCCACGTCCCTCAGAGGGCTCCGCAGGAGCCGATGGACGCGGTGGAGGGAGTGGAGGGGGCGGACGTCGCACCCCACCTGCCCGGCGAGGGCGGGGACGCCGGCCCCCACAAGTGCGACTCCTCGACTCCTCTACCGCACGGGGGGGGGGGGGGTCTCTGCCTCTCCTCGTCCCCCCCGCCTTCATGAGGTGCTCGCTAACAGCACTTGCCCCAAGCCTGTTAAGGCTACACGGGGGAGCTTTGGCTTTGAGATGGAAGAGGGGGGGGTAGATGCCACAGAAGGAGACACGAGGTGGGGGTCACGGTAACTTAAAACTCGACCCTTTATTGATCTCCACAACCCCCTTTCACAGACCTGGGCCCCTTACCCCCCGCGACAGTCACACGAACGGAATAACCCACGTAAAAAAAAAACCCCACAACCACGATGACGATCAAGCCACCACCACCAACCTCCTCAACCACCACGACTCACGATGGCGGCAGCTACCCAACCCCCACAAGCCGCCTCTGCCTGCTCGACAACCCTCGTCAACAACACAACCCCCCACCCCTCCCCCCCACTTAGCGTCCCCTCCCCCCACCCTCCCCCCCCTACTTCCCGGCCGCTTGCCTCCAGAGTCCGGAGTGGACGAGGGTTCCGGAATCCGGAGTGGGACAAGGGGGTGCAGCACCACGGGCAGCGCACGACACCCAGGGGTCCCGGGATTCTGGACTCCCAGGATTCTGGATTCACAGGGTCCCGGGATTCTGGACTCCCGGGATTCTGGATTCACAGGGTCCCGGGATTCTGGACTCCCGGGATTCTGGATTCAGGGTCCCGGGATCCTTGACTCCCGGGATTCTGGACTCACAGGGTCCCAGGATTCTTGACTCCCGGGATTCTGGATTCACAGGGTCCCAGGGATTCTGGACTCCCAGGGTCCTGGGATTCTGGACTCCCAGGGTCCCAGGATTCTGGACTCACAGGGTCCCAGGTTTTCTTGACTCCCGGGATTCTGGACTCACAGGGTCCCGGGATTCTTGACTCCCAGGATTCTGGATTCCAGACTCCCACCCAGGGGGCTCCTAGTAGGGGCGGTCGCGATGCTCGTGGCGGTAGTCACTTCTGCAGGAGGTAACAGACACAACAACCAAAACAACCGCCATCAAACACCACAATCACCACCACCAATAACAACACCCGCCATTCACCACTAAGTGACGGTGACATCACCAGGGCGCCTGTGCCAGGCCAGGTGCACTTTGAGGCCACGTGAAGTGCCAAGACTCGCTGCCGACAGGTGACGGGACAGACCCAGCAGGTGCAATGGGTCGGCTGACTGAGATGACCGGGAGAGCACCACCACCTGTACCCCCCCCCCACTGTGCCAGCTTGCTGCATTTTAGCCGCCCGGCACGCCACTCGTTGTTGTGAGCGCTCCTCTGCCCTCCGTTGTTGCTGGAAGACGACTGCCTCCGACTGCCCAGTAGCATCAGCATCCTTCACGAGCCTCCTCCACAGAGGTCGAACCGATACCGCTGGTACGGTCATCGGCAAGTCCACTCAGCTCCACATTCTCCCATTCCACATCAGTCCATCTCTCCCCCAGCCCGTGTCGTGTCCATTTAGTCTCCTCTATGCGGAAAAACGGAAGCTGCTTGGGTATGCAGTGGCTAGGCATGTGGGCTAAATGACCCAGCCAACACAGCCTCGCCTGCCGGAGCAGCTCACCGATGGGAATGTGTCCAGATCTTCAACAATTTTGTAAACTCCTCACACAATCCAGCCTGCTGGTTAAACCCAGGGTGGATCCGTGGGCAGACCAGCCTCAATGTTTCTCACCGGCACAGATGTTCCATTAGAGGGGTCCACGTTTCATAAGCATAGAGAAGGGAGGGCATGACTGTGGCCGAGAAGACCCGAAGCTTCGTGCGGAGCGACACACAGCGTTACGCAGCCGATGAAAAGATAATGGCCACCTGACTGATTCGGAGTGAGACCTCTTGCTGTCAAACTGGAGCTGGCCATAAGCACACGGGCCAGGTATGGCAACTCTCCACAACTACTCCCATCACCAGTGAGGAGCTGAGGGGGTGGAGTGGTTGTGGTGGCACAAAACACCCAGACAGGTCGCTTCGCTTTGGTGGAGCTGAAGGTTAAGACCCCATACTTCTTCTTAGTGGCTCACTCCAGGTTCAGCACCACCACCACAACCACCATGCAAGCATGTGTGTGTACGTGTGTGTACGTGTATGTATGCGTATGCGTGTGTGCACGTGTGTGTACACGTGTATGCGTGTGTGTACACGTGTGTGTACGTGTGCAACACGCAATCAGGGCAAGGGGAGGGTCCTCACTCACCGGCCGTCCATCTTGCCAGGGCCCCCACCGCCCATCCAGCCTCCCCGGCCCCCCCTGAAACCCCCCACGGTCGCCACCCCCCCGGCCCCCCCCGGTCCATGCCACCCCCCCGGCCTCTAAAGCCACCGCCACGGCCCCCCGCGGAATCCGTCTCCTGCACACCCAGAAGCGCGCACAGTCAGCGGGGGGGACACGCGGCTGTGACCGCACGGAGACCTCCAGAGAACACCAACGACTCGCACGGACCTCACGCCGGGGTTATACACACACAGCGCCAGGTGACACACAGCGCCCAGGTGACACACAGCGCCAGGTGACACCCCGCGCCAGGTAACTAATCCGAGGGCGAAGTCGACCAGTTCAGATAATCGCAATCATCGGTGTCACGAACAGGAATCAAACCCGGGTCCCCCCCCCCCCCGCTCTGCTGCTAACCGCTGCGCCGCCACTCCACACTAACACACGGCACCCCCGTGGCACTATAGGCGCAAAGACAAAGATCCCCCGTATAGCCTTAACAGACTGTAGGGGCAAGTGCTGTTAGCGAGCACCTATGAAAGCCGACACTGTGGCACACGAGGGGGTGGGTGGCCAGCACCACGGCCGGGCTGCCTTTTGTCTCCCCAGTGGCGATGTTTACTACACAGCGCACCAGGTACTCGCTTAAGGCCGAGTCGACCTAGGGGAGGCCCAGGACCGGTTCAGATAATCGTCACTGGTGTTTGCCGTGAGCGGGAATCGAACTCGTGTCGCCAGATTCGTCGCGCAGCATAGCGCTAACCGCTACACTATCCCACACACACACACATGAGTATCCCCACACACACGCGCACACAAGTGTCACACGCGCACACACACACACGTGTCACACGCGCACACAAGTGTCACACGCGCACACACATGTATCCCGCACACACACGTGTATCCCGCACACACGCGTGTCTCCCGCGCACACACACACACACACAGGTATCCCACACACACACACGCGTGTCTCCCACACACACGAGTGTCTGTCTGTCGTTGTAGTAGTTGTTGGTACCCTCCGCCCGGGGAGCTTCCCCCGTCTGGACGAGGAGCCTTGCACTTGTTGCACTCGTTCCTCCACGCAAAGTTCTGGTTGCCACACGACCTGCAGCAGCAGCAGCAGCAGCAGGAGCAGCAGGAGCAGCAGGAGCAGCAGGAGAGAGACAGAGGGGGGGAGCAGCAGCAGCAGGAGAGAGAGGGGGGTCATACAACCCAGGAGTCCACGGAAGGGAACCCCCCAACACCCACAGCCTGCACCCAGAGCCTCCCATCTCCCCTGTTGTGGTTGCCGTGTGGTTGCGTTGCCGGTTGGTGTGCGTTGCCGTGTGGTTGTGTTGCCGTGTGGTTGCGTTGCCGTGTGGTTGCGTTGCCGTGTGGTCGCGTTGCCGTGTGGTTGCGTTGCCGTGTGGCCGCGTTGCCGTGTGGTTGCGTTGCCGTGTGGTTGTGTTGCCGTGTGGCCGCGTTGCCATGTGGTTGCGTTGCCGTGTGGTTGCGTTGCCGTGTGGTTGCGTTGCCGTGTGGTTGCGTTGCCGTGTGGTTGCGTTGCCATGTGGTTGCGTTGCCGTGTGGGTTGCGTTGCCGTGTGGTTGCGTTGCCGTGTGGTTGTGTTGCCGTGTGGTTGTGTTGCCGTGTGGTTGTGTTGCCGTGTGGTTGTGTTGCCGTGTGGTCGCGTTGCCGTGTGGTTGCTTGCCGTGTGGTCGCGTTGCCGTGTGTCGTTGCCGTGTGGTTGTGTTGCCGTGTGGTTGTGTTTGCCGTGTGGTTGTGTGTTGCCGTGTGGTTGTGTTGCCGTGTGGTTGTGTTGCCGTGTGGTTGTGTTGCCGTGTGGTTGTGTTGCCGTGTGGTTGTGTTGCCGTGTGGTTGCGTTGCCGTGTGGTTGCGTTGCCGTGTGGTTGCGTTGCCGTGTGGTTGCGTTGCCGTGTGGTTGCGTTGCCGTGTGGTTGCGTTGCCGTGTGGCCGCGTTGCCGTGTGGTTGTGTTGCCGTGTGGCCGCGTTGCCGTGTGGTTGCGTTGCCGTGTGGTCGCGTTGCCGTGTGGTTGCGTTGCCGTGTGGCCGCGTTGCCGTGTGGTCGCGTTGCCGTGTGGCCGCGTTGCCGTGTGGTCGCGTTGCCGTGTGGCCGCGTTGCCGTGTGGTTGCGTTGCCGTGTGGTTGCGTTGCCGTGTGGTTGCGTTGCCGTGTGGCCGCGTTGCCGTGTGGTCGCGTTGCCGTGTGGTCGCGTTGCCGTGTGGTCGCGTTGCCGTGTGGTTGCGTTGCCGTGTGGTTGCGTTGCCGTGTGGTTGCGTTGCCGTGTGGTCGCGTTGCCGTGTGGTCGCGTTGCCGTGTGGTTGCGTTGCCTGTGGTTGCGTTGCCGTGTGGTTGCGTTGCCGTGTGGTCGCGTTGCCGTGTGGTCGCGTTGCCGTGTGGTTGCGTTGCCGTGTGGTCGCGTTGCCGTGTGGTTGCGTTGCCGTGTGGTTGCGTTGCCGTGTGGTTGCGTTGCCGTGTGGTCGCGTTGCCGTGTGGTCGCGTTGCCGTGTGGTTGCGTTGCCGTGTGGTTGCGTTGCCGTGTGGCCGCGTTGCCGTGTGGTCGCGTTGCCGTGTGGCCGCGTTGCCGTGTGGTTGCGTTGCCGTGTGGCCGCGTTGCCGTGTGTTGCGTTGCCGTGTGGCCGCGTTGCCGTGTGGTTGTGTTGCCGTGTGGCCGCGTTGCCGTGTGGTTTGTGTTGCCGTGTGGCCGCGTTGCCGTGTGGTTGTTTGCCGTGTGGTTGTGGTGTTGCTGCTGCGGTTGCCGCGGTTACTCACGGGTTGGGGCAGTCCCAGTCTCCGGCTCTCTGACCCCCGTTGGGGCCTCCGGGTCCCCCTCCCCCTCCTCCACGGCCCCCGAAACCCCTCCACCCCCCCCTCGGTCCCCACCCCCCTCGGTCCCCACCCCCGCGACCTGGGGAGACGGCGCCACAACAACCACTCACACTCACCACCGCCCCCTCACCACCACCACAACCACCACCACAACCACCACCACCGCCACCACCACCGCCACCACCCTCACCGCCACCACAACCACCACCGCCCTCACCGCCACCACAACCACCACCCCCCCTCACCACACACACCCACCACACCGCCCCCTCACCACCACCACAACCACCACCGCCCCACCGCCACCACACAACCACCACCACAACAACCACCACCACCGCCCTCACCGCCACCACAACCACCACCGCACCACAACCACCGCCCCCCCACACCACCACAACCACCCCCCTCACCACAACCACCCCCCTCACCACAACCACCCCCCTCACCACATCAACCACCCCCCTCACCACATCAACCACCCCCCTCACCACAACCACCCCCCTCACCACGTCAACCACCCCCCCTCACCACCACCACAACCACCCAACCCCTCCACCCCCTCCCTTACCTCAACCCCCTCACCACCTCCCCCACCCCTCCCAATCAACTCAGAATCTGCGTTCATCCGGCAAAATCTGAAGAGCTCTCAAGCTCTTGTTGGTGGTGTTTCATGATGGCCGACTCACCTCTACCGCGCCAGTTGGAGCCAAAGTCGGAGCGGCGAGTGGCAAACGACACCTTGATCTTGCCTCCGTTGAACTCCTTGCCTGCACCACCACAATCACCACAATCACCACCACAATCACCACCACAATCACCACCACAATCACCACCACAATCACAATCACCATCACCATCACAACCACCACAACCACCGCCTGTGCACACGCCTGTGCACACACGCCTGCGCACACACGCCTGCGCACACGCGCCTGCACTGCCATTCACCATGAAGTGGCAGCGCTTGTGCCAGGCTATGTGCACGTTAAAGCCACGTGAAGCGTCAAACGCCCGCTGGCAGGTCACGGGACAGACCCAGGTGCCATAGGTTGACCGAGATGACTGGCTGATGCACCACCTGTGCCCCTACGCTAGCGCACACACAACACACACATGCCTGCACACACAACACACATGCCTGCACACACACACACGTGCCTGTACGTGTGTTGTGTGTGCGTTCATCTCACCGTCGAACCAGTCGATGGCGGCCTTGGCGGAGGGGGGGTCGTCAAAGGAGACGGTGGCCTCCCCCTTGGGCTTGCCGGTCTCACGGTCCGTGTAGATGTTGATCATGGGGCTACCCGTGCGCTTGTTGATCTGTCACACACACAGAGACCTTGACTAAAGACACACACACAGAGACCTTGACTACACACACAGAGACCTTGACTATAGAGATTCACCCAGACTTGAGACTCAAGAGACCCACAGATCTACAGAGAGCCACGGACTCCTCCCACTCCCACCTCATATTCTTAGGTTTTTTCGGTAAAGTCACGTAGGTAAAACATCAAAATTAATAAAAAATAAAACAAAAATCACTCCCCACCTCCTCCCACGCAGCTCCCCCTTCCTCCTCCTCCCCCAACTCACCTTGATGATGCCGATCTGCTTGAAGAACTCCGCCACCTGCTCCACGGTGACCTCGTCGCCCATGCCCTGGACGAAGATGGTGTTGTTGTCTGCGTTATCCTGGTCTGTGGGTGAGTGGGGGGGTGGGGTGGAGCGATGAGAAATCTGTCCACAACCACCGCTCAACCACAACAACCGCCAACAACCAACAACCACCCGCAGCGGAAAACGGCAGCGCAACCGCTGCCCCCAAAAGCGTGGGGCCCAGGGCAGTCACACACCCCAAATCCACACCCCCACTCCTGCCTCTCCCCGACCAACTTTCGACCACCCCCTCCCCACCTCCTCTCCCTCCCCACCAATTTAAGGTGAACCAGCTTAGGGCAATAACCAAGTCAGTCTGTAGAACTTCTTTCGCAGCATAGCCCCTGTGCGGATCTCACCGTAATCCGGGGGAGTGTCCCCTAAACGAGAGAAACTAAAATCTTTTATTTTATTTTTCCCGGGTGTAGGCACCAACCTAGCTCAGCCCAAGTGGTGGCTCATCATCATCCACCACCCGCGTGGAAATTGATAGCAGCAGCCAAAAACTCCTGACGTGGAAGATGTCGATTCCAAACGTGGAGGGGAAAAAAAAAAAAAAAAATTCTGGAAGATCCGGGAGGATAAATCCACGTTAGTGACTTATCTCACGGGGAAAGAGACGCAATCTCAAATATACAGGTGTCGTCAGGATCGGGATCGAACCCACGACCTCCTGTATACCAGGCGAGGTGGCTAACATCTCCTAGCCAGCGTGATGATGACGATGAGACACGCAAGGTATCGTCAGGGTCGAGATCAAACCCACGACCTCCTGCATACCAGGCGAGGTAGTTAACATCTCCCATCTACCGGACAAGAAAGAAAAACCCATCAGTGGACCTGCCCATGAATGCAAAGTAGGCGTTGCCTTTGGCTGCAAAGGGGGACGTCTCTGCCCAGATATCGTCAATCGAACCACAAGACGGCGAATCGATTCCGCTCGAAGTTTATCACGGACGCATACACATCGGAAGAGCATCGATTCAGAGGGTTAAACGCCCCCCCCCCCCCCCCTGCTGTTTTCAATTGGCTGACATCTGCACGAATCCATTACAGCAGCCGCCGTTCAGCACTCTACACGTGCGTGTGTACGATGGACTTCTTTCACATCGTACGTGGCCAACCGTGGATGTCACTACGGCGTCCGTGCCAAGCTGGGTGCACTCCGAGTTTATCGCGTGAAGTGTCGAAGGCTA